AAATTACAGACCCTTGCAGTGTTGAAATGTTCTTATTGTTACTGCTGGGATCCAGAGAACTTTCCTTCTGAGGTTTGTTGGTCTGTTTATTTTTGTAAGTAAGAATGTACATACATTTATAGTAATTTGCACTAATGTTTACTGATATCCCTCACATCTTAATTTGAGTATCCATGCTTTGTTATTATTGTTTGTATTCTTCTTGGTTTTTTTTTTTGCTATTGGCCACTCATCAGATTTTGAAGTCCTTACTAGCTATAGTGTAAACACTGATCCTTGATCTTACCAAGGAAAATCAGTGTAAAAGGATGACTGAAAATCATCTCCCCATACTACTATACTTTATATACATACTCACATTTAATAGTACTGGCACAATATTAACATACATGAATGTATAATATATGTAACAATATATGTAATAAAATATACTTGTATATAATACACATAACAATATGTTGTTGTTGTTGTTATTGTTGTTGTTATTGTTCTGTTGTTTCAGTCATGTCTGACTCTTTGTGACCCCATTTGGGGTTTTCTTGACAAAGATACTGGAATGGTTTGCCATTTCCTTCTCCAGCTTATTTTACAGATGAAGAAACTGAGGCAAACAGGGTTACTTGACTTGCTTAGGATCACATAGCTAGTTAAGTGCCTGAGGCCATATTTGAACTCAGGAAAATGAGTCTTCCTGACTCCAAGTCTGGCTTTCTGTACCACTGTACCACCTAACTGCCCACTATATAGATAGAGAGATAGATAGATAGATAGATAGATAGATAGATAGATAGATAGATAGATATAGATGGATGGATGGATGGATGGATGGATGAATAATAAATAGTAGCTCTTTCTCTTAAAGAAAAAATTATATGAAAGCCTTCTTACCTGCTGTGCCTCTGCTGTTGACAGGAGATGTGAAAGTGGAGAAAGTAGATGCCATGATATAGGATGGATCCGTTGTAGTATTCACATAACCTACAATAATAACAGCAAATATATATGTGTTTACTTTTCCATCTTCTAACCAGCAGCCTCTACCCTATGCTATATACTCTTCCCTTTACCCTGCCATCTGCTTTCTAAGTTCTCTTTTATGTGTTGTCTTCCCTCATTAGAATGGAAGTTCCTTGAGGGCAAGGACTATCTGGGGATATCTTAAATAATCAGTCTTCCAACCAAGTCTTGGGTGTTTTCTGTGGTGCTGCAAATGCTGAAGAATATGCTTACGTGTAATATTTTGTAACATAGTTTATTACCTCAATCCATTATTTATGTCTTCTTTTATTTGGCTTTTCATTGTTTATGTTTGTCTTCTCAACCAGAATGTAAGCTCCTTGGGGGCAGAAACTATGTCTCAAATGTCTTGGTATCTCCTATAGTGCTTACTACAGAACTTTGCACACAGTAGGAACATAATAAATGCTTGTTGGATAATTACTTTTGGACAGAGAGAATGCTGAGGCCATTTGGTTGGGATTTTTTAGATGGGAAAATTTGATGTGAGAAAAATAGTTGACAGTCTATAAACTCTTTTCAAAGAAACTCTTTAGTTCCCTCTCAGTATTTCTCCATGGGCAATGGGACCACCACTTGCTAAGTGGATTCAGGAATGTTTTAGGGAGAAACTGGATCCAAATGCTCTTTGGGAGATGCATGTGGAAACAGAAGTAGGATTTATATAGGGGAAGCTGGTCAACTTTTCCGTATTTCCAGTTTGCCTCCCTAGAAGCTACTAGAATGGGCCACCTTGAGTGAGACTGAGCACTATCTCTTGGTTTGAGCTGAAATATTATCTAACTCCCAGATGAAAAACTTCTTCATTCTTATATATGTAACACCAGAAAGGAGAGAGTCTCAAACCAATGGGCTTTGGTACTGGGGTTACGTATACTTCCTGGTATATTCTAATGTGTAGAACTTCTCAAATTTCTGTTTGCTGTTTTGTTTGGATAAATAGGCTTCCTCAGTATCTGCTACATGTGTGCACAACATATCTTTTGTGTAATCATCTTGTAGTGGGAAGACACTGAGCTAGCAAATGTAAGCTAAGGGTTACCTTCTCCCTTTAGAGCAACGAGGGAAGTAATTGTCCTTCTGAACTCAAACTCATACTATTAGAACAGAGATATTTGAAGGAGGAAGATAGACCTAATTCTAGCCCAATATTCCTGTTGGAGATGGAGAAAAGGACATGCAGCCTCCCAGGTTCCTCAAGCCGGCCCTGCCTCTTTCTCTCCATCCATTGTGCCAGTGGTTTAGGCACTCACTTCTATTGGTTCTTTTCCTCTACCTAGAGGTGAGCCAGGTCTCAGATGATATCCATCCATGCCATCCACAAACTGCATCTAGACAACCCATATGGACATGCATATCTTACACCTAAGATGAGATTTCCATGCTCTGTAACTCACAGTATCATAGATTGAGAGCAAGAAGGGACCCTGGATGATACCTGGTCTAGGACATATGGTAGGATCAGAATTTCCCAAAATCCAGGTAACAAGTAATGAGAACGTGTACAGGAGAATAGAAAAGAGAGAGAAACAGACAGACATAGGCAGAGAGAGCAGAGACAGATGACCATGATAGTTCTAGAGTGTGGGCCAGTTAGAGAGTAATGGAAACCTCATGGATTATTTCATGGGGTTCAGCTGTAGCCCTTTCTGCATGGAATGCCTCCAATTTGGAGGAATTCTTCTTCATAGAATTATACTTGCCAGTAAATATTTGAGTTGAATTGAAGTCAAATTGAAATTTATAAAAGATGAATGATGACCTATTCTAAGCATGATATGTAACCTGAAAGCCCCAAAGAGACATGTTTTGGATGTGGGAAAATATTTATTGGTCTTGTTAGGTAGGTAACTCACCGAAGGAAAAAGCTATTTTTCTGGATGAGATATTCCACACTTCATTTCCAGGGACAGGAAAGAGAGTCATGCACCAAATTGTCAAATTATTGGGTAGAATTGGCTGGTTAGGCTTCAGAACACTCAACTTAGATGTTAGTTCATAAAAGCCTTCATCACTTTTCTTCTTTTCAGTGGTAATGTAAATGCCTAGAAGAGAACAAGGAAGCTGGTTAGCCACTATCATTTAGTATATATGCTACAAAACTATCTCAAGTGTGGGAATTGGGAGAAATACCAGACATGATCAAACCATAACCTGTCCACTGCAAATAAAGGAGTGGAAGAGTGTCTTCTCACCATAGACCATCACTTCCTGACACCAGGAAAAAATACTTCTTTAGACAGAGGCACCTGAAGCCAATTTGGCTGTGAAAGTTCCAGATCTTTTCTTCCTACAGCTTTGCCACATTTTGCCTGGGAGGCAGGGAATAGAGGAGGTGCATGCCTGTGGCCTTTTAGCCACAGCTACAGACCCTAGAAATGAGTGATGGCTGAAGGCAAAGCACAGAAAATTGAGGACCACAGAACCCCTAAAGAGATTTTACGGGGGCTGGAAATTTTTAAAAAAATATTTTGGCAACTGTATTTTAATATGAGTTTCCTTTGTAGATTTGTGTATTTTAATTTATATTTTTAAGAACACTATTCTGAAATGTGGTGTATAGTCTTCACTAGACTGCCAAAAGGGTCAGTCACTCACACACACACACACACACACACACACACACACACACACACACACAC